TTCTCTAATCTCAATGAGCCATTATAGTCCAACTCTTCATTTAATCGTAAATGAATAAAATAGGAACTAAACCAAAACTGATTAAGTATTAAGATAATCGAAATTTTGATAGAAAGAATTTCAAAATTCCATACTGAGAATCTAAACTTCATACAATACATCCACTAACAATTGTTCGAGCAAATATAGAACCCGTTGCAGAAATCTATCGAACTCCAAAGCACTAGAGGACAAAAACTAGGAGTATGGTTCCAACGTCCAAGCAATGTTTTCAGCAATTGAACACCTGTCAAGTTCATTGCAACAACAAAAGAGTGTCCAGTGTCCACAATACCAAATAGGAAATAGTCTCTAGTCTCCACCTCAGTTTTGAAACTTTGTTGTCACTGTACTCAAACCTATTCCACAGTCTGGATTCCTGAAATCAAGCAGTCTCATGAGTCATCTGCTTGCAGTGCAACCGTTGCAAGCACCACCAGAACAACGAAAATGCAGCTCCCTTTACGTTTGCTCTGATCAGTAACCATAATCAATCTTGTACAGCTCAATCAAATGCCTGGAAAGATGGCATATATACAGGAAAGACAGTGAAAAAGAATTATGTACATTATTATTATGAACTATACATGCTTGTCTGCTACAAGTCGGACTTTATTCAGAGATTCTTTAAATGCTTGCCATGCAACCATGTAATGATCTTGGGATATCATTCCTTCCTCAACAACTTGTATGGAACGCCTGTACAAATGATCAAACCACTGGACTGGGTTTGAAATGTCAACATTGTTGGACCCAAGATCTGGTACATACACGCGCTTAAAATCTTTCCTCCATCGAGACAAAATATACTGAAATGGAATTTCCTCGATGCCATTGTAGTTTAGGATGCACAGAGCATGTCGACACAGATACCCATTGAAGTTGAAGCAACCACCAAGGCAACGAATTTCAGCACTCCCTTTGTCGTACATTACTTCAAAGCTCTTGATACTCTTCTGATCCCCTTCACATTCCTGTTCTTTAAGCATGTAGCTTATGATTGGTCCATTGGCATGTACTTGCATTATGGTAAAACAAGACATCATGACAACCTCATCCTGGAACCGCCTGAATATCTCATTTGTGAACAACTTCGAAAGCTGCAATTCATAGTAGAAACTTGTCTTTAACATGGGACTTGAACTTCTTGATTCAAAATCATCAAAGGCTTCCTTTTGATGCTTCTTTTGCAAGACTAATTCATACATGTCAAAGAATTCCTTTAATGAAGTTTGCTGACTTATGTAACCATCAAAAAATGAGCCTGTGGACTCACCATTCTGGGAAGGGTACATTCCAGCAAAAAATGTATCTTTCAGGTAAGCTGGAGCCCATCGATCTCGATCTTCATACAAATTATGAAGCCATGGATGGTCTGTCATTCCAAAATTATGGATCATCTCTTCCCAAGCCAATTCAAATTCCTCAACCTTTAAAGAGTCGTAGATTACCCTATTCAATATCATTTGAAACGTGCCTGAATCCTGTGACCCTCCCAGATTTTCAAGAATACTTTGGATGACATGTGACAGACACAGACGATGGTGCGCCTTCGGGAACACCTCTGCAATTGCACTTTGCATAGCCTTGCACTGGTCCGTGATTATAGTTTGTGGGGGACGACCTGACATACATGTAAGCCAGGCCCTAAACAACCAAATATAAGTTTCAAATGACTCATCTGCAAGCAAGCCACATCCCAGCAAAATAGGCTGCCCATGGTGATTTATTCCGACAAAAGCCACCAGTGGAATCTCATATTTGTTTGAAATGCAGGTTTTATCAATTGCAACCACATCACCAAAGTAACCATAAGCAGCCCTAGACCTAGAATCAATCCAGAAGACATTCCTCAAACACCCTTCATCATTGAGATCCATCACATAAAAGAAGTTTGGATTAGTAAGCTGAACACGACAAAAATAATCATGAATAAGCTGGGCATCCCCTTTTTTGAGCTTCAGTCGCCTTGAACGGTCAACATTATTACTAATTTCTCCTTCATTTGAGTTTGAACTTCCATAACCTGTTGGATCAACCACAGGTGTTCGATACAACTTGATTGTTCTAATTTCCACATCAACAGTTGGCTCCACCTTCCTCTTAGTCCCAGCATCCATCTTCTTGTGTGACTTCGAATTTTGAGCTCTTTCAGGATCAAACAAATGATTATGCTCAAGTTTGACTTCATCCACCCTCCATCTATTGGATTCTACTAATCTCAACCGTATCATTGCAAGACAACCAGTTCGTGTTTCCTTCCTACGACTGTTTGCTTCTTTAATTGTTTTGAAACCCTCACAGTTGCAACAAAGTACCGCACCACGTTTTTCTTTGCTGTTTCGCTTTGTCCATGAAGATTTCACCCTGATAGCAAATCCCAGTTCTTTGGCATAGCAATTGTAATAGTTGTAAGCATCATCATATGATTCAAACTCCATCCCCACAGCTGGAGGAAGATAGTCCTTTCCTTGGGGAATACCATTTTCACCACCAACCATAGTTAAATCATTTCTGTTGTTCTCATGTTCATTGTCTTCAATAAGCATTTGATGAGAGTCATTCTCAAGGTCATTACTTTCAATCTCAAGGCCACTTCCTTCTATATCAAGGCCATTGCTTTCAATATCAAGGCCATTGCCTTCAATATCAAGATCATTTCCTTCCATTTCAAGGTCATTATCTTCATCCTCAAGCAGCTGTTCACTGTTTTGAGAACCTTCTTCAACCTGAAATGAGAAAATATGCATTTATAAAAATAGCTCCTATATGCATGATCTTGGCATTTCTTTAGTTCTTTTCTAGGTATTTCTTGCTAATCTTATTACTTACTAAATTAAAAATTAACAAAGAAACAAATAAACAAAAAAAACCTTGGAACATAAAAAGCAACAAGGCACCATGCTAACTTATACTGCCGATGGTTGTTAAACTAGCTCCACTGTCTTCTTCCAATTATTGTAGCCTGATATTCATTATTCCATATTTTATAATGCCTTTCCTCCTAGAATTTATAACAGTATAAACAACAAGCTAATAACCAAAGTCCTTTTTGTTCATACACTGAACTGCTATTACCAGCACAGGAATCAGAGTTCCTTACCAAGTTAAGCAACCTTCAACAAAGGGTGCATACAATGACATGCTGTTTTTTGCACAACAGGTTGGTCACTTTGGCTACAATGAAATAGCTTAATTTTTCAAAATGCTTCCCAGGACAAGGAGAATTTATTAGACCTGATTCAGGTTAGGGCATTCTTCTGGTCAAAAGCAAGTAACCCCTCATTTTGTTTCTCTTTACATGAGTGGTGTTTTCAACCCCAATTATGTGAGTAATTGGTTTGAGGAGCAGCATCTTCTCTTAAAGGGACATGGGAGTTTGACAAGTATCTGAGGCTGTTTTCTATTGCTATGACACTTTGTTGCTATGCAAATAATGTGTAGGACTTTATCAATGTAGAAAGGGATTGGCAGGATATTGCTATGTGGGATTTCTTCTCTTACCAGTAGCAGACTAGAAGTGATTGTAATCCTTGAATATTTCTGGTATCCAACTAATAGAAGTATAATCATTTGGGCTGATAAAGAAAAATGCAAAAGGAAAACAAAATAAGCTATCAAGGCTGCAAAGCCTGTGACAAAGAGCACAATCACACACACAGGATATCATTTGTGATTTGCTCTGAATAACATTTGTTGCCATGCAGTAATTTTTACAATCTTAATTCCTAAGCAAATTGTTTCTTGAAGAAAGCTTAGGGTGACCCCTAAATAATATTGTTCCTTCCTACCCCTAACATCACTCCAAACCCTCTTTTCTGTAACCTAAAACCTGTGACTAATATTATTCCTTTTCAAGAATATCAAAGATAGAATAAATTCTTCCAAAACTTGCATTTCTTTCATCAACTTCAAATGAAATCACTGGTAGAGCCAAAATAATAATATTTAAGTGGCTAACTAACTACATGTCTGGGACATCCCTTTAAATTGTGGATGCATCTCAAATCCAAAATTTAGTATTTAAATAAATGACTAACACATCAAGAATAAAGTCTTTCAGGTTACTCCCCCTGAAAATTATAGTTGCACTACTATGGTTTGTTCTACCATGTAATCTACACATTCCATCAATCCATCTGCCCGATTCAAGTGGGCATTTGGAATTCTAACATCATTTACATCAAATTGAAACTCTTTCGCCACTTACTCCTGACTTCCAAGCCTACACGTGGATTATCCATGGCCATAATGGCTAATGACCACGAATGAAGAGTGGATACTAACAAGTCCCAAAGTAAAATTCACTTGTGATGGCTTCATCCAGTGTTGAGAAAACAGAGGCTAATACCAACACCTAAGATGTGGGAATCTTGACCAACTTTAAGGAAAAAACCATACACAAAAACAGATTTGAGATAAATGGAATAACCAATGCTCTCATTAAGTATTATTAGCATCCTACTTCTAAAATTTCCATCATTCAAGCTTCCTCCTTTAACACATCCGCATTGTTACTTCAGCACCTAAAGGATCTCACACTGTCTATCCTCCATGTCCATGGAATTTCACCATCTGACATGATTTCCACAACACTCCACTCCATCTTTTCCCATTTTTCTATTGCAGCTACCCCCAAAACCCCAAATTTTAAGGGAAATTTCCGCTTCAACAAACTGTTATAAAAGTACATCTTTGCTATCTCACTAAACATGTAGGCATTGCAGATGAAGACATCGACATAGAAGTTCGAATCACAGAAACAGAATTAATTACAACAAGCTTATATCTTCCACCAAATTCTTATCCTTTCATGATTAGGGCTAAAACACAAACAATATCAAAACAGAGTAAAGTAATAGTGAATCATACATCAAAAATTAAAATTCACAAAACAAATCGAATGCTCACTTCAATAGTCAATACCCTAAACTAAATTTCCCCTGTGACAGAGTTAAGGAGCTGAAGAACCCTAGAAATGGCAATACAAAGAGAAATTATAATATCACGCAGGGAAACACGATGAGTGAAATCCAAAGATAAAAGCAGTAAAGATCACAAGCCGCGCACCGTTAGTTTGAGGTCAGGACTCGGTGACAGGGCCTGATCGGTCGGAGAAAAGGTGCCATCGCCGGTCATGGTTGCAGAGGGATGCACGAGCGCAGTGTCAAAGTATGAGAGGTCAGCTTTGCCCTAGTGTCTCTGGACTCTGGACCCTGAACCCTGGACTCGGAATTTGCTTCCAAGAGTTTATCTACAGTAAAGTTGAAACTGCGACGAGCAAAATGGCTATGGTTAAAAGCTAACATTCAACTCATTAAAAATAATTTAATTTAATTTAATTATTAAAAATAATTAATAATGGATAAAACAATTAATATTTTTATTTACTATATTAAAATTAATTTATAAATTAATACTTTTAGATATCATAATTAATTATTTAAAAAATAATAAATGAATAATATTATAATTAAATTAATAATTTTAGCAATTAAATGGTAATGATAATTAACCTAAATATAATTAAATAAAAATATTTTTTTATCAAAAAAAAGTATTAAACTCCATAATAGACACTCTTTTTATTTCAACTATTTTAAAATGAATAACAATTTACAAATTGAACCAGCATGCAGAGTCTAATGATTGATCTTAAATCTTTTCCTTCCCCCATCCCCTTAATTGCCCTTGTTCAAAAAAACAAAACTTACAAATTATTAATCTGAGTGGAGGTTTGTTGTTTAATTTTTGAATTTGATAAACTTCATCAATTTCTAAAAATATCATAAAAATATTATATAAATTAATCATTCAATATTTTTTAAAATTAAAAAGTTATATTTAAAAAACAGTTTTATAAAAGCTGTAAAGGTGTTTAAGTTAACCATCAATATATAATTGATAATTAAAAGTTAGTATTTATTATGTTTAGAAAACACCAAAACAAACTAAAATGAGTTTTAATACCAAAGAATAATGGTAAATAAACTTACAATCAGTTGTATTTGTAAGATTAAAATGATTGTAAGTTGAACAGCGGAATTGAGGAGCACATGTAAGGTGAGTCACTAAAGAGGCGTTGTTTTGATTTATTAAAAATAATTATTAATTATTAATTTTAATTAAATGAATTAAACATTTTAAATTATAAATATTAGTAATTATGGATTTTTAAATATCACTTATTATCTATTAAAAAAACTAATCCACGAAAGGAAAGAGGGCATCCTATCACACGCGCTTTTGTCACGGTGGGAGTAATTTGTAAACAGAAAAAAGTTGAAGGGTTGATTTAAGATTTTGGATTTGTGATTCCTGTTCGTTGAGTTACAACCACGGGAATCCGACGTGGAGATGCAGAATCTGAGAAGAATAATCACGGCACGCGCTGGTCCGAAGTGCTTTACACGCTCGTAGTCCTTAGTTTGATAATTAAATTGTTTTTTGTTTTCTTATTAACTAAATTTCTTTTCTGTTTTTTATTTTTTCATTCATCCGGCATGTTATTTTGCCAACCTCTTTTTTTTGAAAAAAAGAAGAAGAAATTTTTACATTTTTTAACTTGGTTAAAATAATGAAACAACAAAATAAAGAAGATTTTATGTTGAATTATTAAAAATAATAAACTTACAATATTACGTAGAATTGTTGTAAATTTATAATAATTATGTAATATTAAATAAATAAATATAATATCACATGTAACTTTAATAAAAGAGTCAATCAAATTATAACACATATATACAAAATTTTAGTTAAATGTTCTTACAAAATTTTCATTCTATATAAACGAAGAGCAAGTATAAATATGTTAAATGTGAATATAAAGTCTGTGTGCAGTCATAATCTCCCATACATTTCTCTTGATATTGGATAAAAAATCATGGAGTATGAAAGGGGAACAAGCTATGGAACAACCACTTCATAAGATGTGCATATTATAATGCAAAACCTCCTCTATTTATTATCACGATTTAATTATGTTTTTACAATTATTTTAATTCTTTATTTAAGAATGTTATAAATTATTATAGTATTTTTTATCTTATTTTTCAGATTATTTATGTAAATAAACTTTATTTCACAGTATAATATAATTATACTGTTTATGATATAAAAAAGAAAAAATAACACACCACCTAATTGTAAGCATAACATTTTCTTTAAATTTCTTTTGATTTTTATTTATCTTGCAACTGTGTGGCGCGTGCATTTACAACCATCCCAATTGAGTATCCAACATAATTTTCCAAAATTAAATAAAAAGGAAAAAGAAAAATAGAAACGTGGTGGACGTTTCGGTTGGTTTAAGCTGTCTCCTCATTCTCCACCGTTCACAAGCTCTCTCCGGCGGCAGAGATGGCCTGGACTCTGTTCTCTCCTCCACACACTCTGACTCTCCCTTTCTCTGCCTTAAACAAGATCGCCGGAATCAACAGCTACCGGAATTATGGCCTGAGAAGTGAAAGAACGAAGAAATTCATCACAGCCAGTGCTACAGACAAAAACAACGAGAAAAGCACAGAGCAGGAGGACAAAGGATATACTCCGTTTGGCTTCGTCACTGACAATCCTTCCAGCCGGAGCGCCATTCAGCTTCCCGAAACCCCCGCCGAGGATGGCAACGTCGGCCAAATGCTCTACGTAAGCTCTATTTCGGCATTGTCTTTGGTAGCATATGATCGACCGATTAAACCTGAAACTGCCATTAATCTTCCTTTGGAACTTAAGTTTGCTTCTGAGTTTATTATATTTCGGTGTTTTTCATTAGATTTTTTAGTGTATATGGAAATTCATTAAAACGTGTGTTCTGGGATTGGGGCGCTAGCGCTTCTATTCTGTTTCCATATCTTTTTGTGAACAATGATACAGGACTAGAAATTTTTTGAAAGTTTAATATGCATGCCAGAGGATAGAAGACAAAGGAAAGGAGTATGGCTCTTACATCAAATCTGGAGAGTTTGTATGGTTTGTGAGAGAAACTGGTACTACATTTACCTGGTTGCAAAGTTGCAATAGTGATTCCTTTTCATTTTAGAAAGATGGCAATTATATTTTTGTCTTGTAGGATCTCCTGCGAGCAGACGGGGAACAATTGTTTTCCTACATGGTGCCCCAACACAATCTTATAGCTATCGGGTTGTTATGTCTCAGGTGGTCTTGCACTAATTCACTAGCTAATTTTTGTTCTTATACTTGCTAATATCAGCGTTTCTAATTTTATGTCATTACAAATGTTTCCTTGTCATGCCTGTTTAGTATCTGAAAATCCATTGTATTTATAGTAGCTATGTATTCTAGCAATGTTATTGAAGTTTAAAAGCCATGTGATTTAGAAATTTCCCAATCAATTCATGCCTAGTTTAAGGTTCAAACTTCAAAGGTGGGTTTACTGGAAAATATGCAAAAACTCCTTGTTTCATTTGTTTTCCATTTTTATCTTTATTATTGTGTAGTGCTGACGGGGCCACATCTCATGTATGAGCTATACTGTATATAGTCTTGTCACCATTTGCATGGCATAAAATATCAGTCATAATTTACATGCACTTAAATGGTCTTCCTGTCCACTCCTTTTACCCTGAAAGTTTAGTATGAACATAGAAATTCACATTCTTAGTTTCAATACTTTCAATCTAACTCTTATAGTTCTTTGAAAGATCATCTGATTTGCAAACCCAAACCACCATTGAAACCTTTTCAGACTTCCAAAAAAAAAATATATTTATGCTTTCCACTAGCATGTGTTTGTAGATTTGTAGATAAAAGCCACAATTGCATGTAATCTTCTAGCTCTAAGCTAACTGTGCACTTGAGTGCTCCCTTATAAATGAACCACCGCATTTATTTACTACATACTTTTTCCCAATTTTCTTGGGTAGATGTCCGATGCGGGTTTTCACTGCTTTGCACCTGATTGGATTGGATTTGGTTTCAGTGACAAGCCACAACCTGGATATGGGTTTGACTACACAGGTTTTTGAAATTTTATAAGTTACTACACTGCTCTATTGTCACATAATATTTTCCCTTGATCTTCACAATTCATATTTCTGAAATGTTAATTAATCTACTGTTACAGAGAAGGAGTTCCATGAGGAATTTGATAAACTGTTGGAGGTCCTGGAGATCAAATCTCCTTTCTTTCTGGTGGTTCAGGTTTGGAAAAATCTCAGAAAATGTGATACTGTAGTGCTGCTATGATAAATCTGTCTTTTGCTATCTATTAGTTGGTTACCACACTCGGCTGTATGTTTTTACTACATCCTTAGTTTTCTCTTTGAACATACTGATTGTAAAGAGTTCTCTAATGATTTAGTTAAATAATATCTAGATCTTGGGTAATGGCACTATTTCAGTTCAATGTAACCAATGTGTTTCTCAAACTTCCTTGTAGGGGTTTCTTGTAGGTTCATATGGACTGACATGGGCCTTGAAAAATCCTAGCAAGATATCAAAACTTGCAATACTGAATTCTCCTTTAACAATTTCATCTCCTGTTCCTGGATTATTTCAACAGCTAAGGTTTACTTCTCATTATGTCTTTGATGGATCTTAAGCTTTGTCTTATTATTTACATTTTGTAAATGACATTATGATCTTTTTATTTCTAACCCGTTTAATTTGTACTCAAGTAGTTAAATTGAACACGTCAATGTGTGGAGTGATGAATTGAACTTTCAAATTAGAGTGATTATTGTTCCAAATTAGAGTTAGGTTTTGTTATTCCATATTTCTTAATTTCTTATTTTTCTCTTTGTTCCCTATTTATTCTTGTCGTTTTTATTCTCTTATTTCTGCAGGATCCCACTTTTTGGTGAATTTACTTGCCAGAATGCAGTCATGGCAGAGCGCTTTATTGAAGCAGGTAGCCAGTATGTATCCAAACTGTATCTCAGTATCTGGTACTTTTGAGATTATTCTACAATAATTAGGGCTCCAAAATCTGTGTAAATTCATCTTATACAATTGTCACATTCCATTTAATGAACTGTCATAAAATAATCCAATAATAAGAATAACGTAGGTTCTACTAAATTATCTTTGAGTCTCTTAAATAGACATTTAGAAGTGTATTTACTGTTTAATAATCATACATAGCATTCAAAATACATAGATCACTTTCTAGTTAGTAAAAACTTTTATAAGCATTCATTGTGTTGTTCTTGCATGCCAAAGTTCAAGAGTTAAAACGTAGAGCTTTTAGTTCCTTATTCATAATGTTCATTCTTAGGCTAAGTACTTGGGTTTAGCCTTTATATTGGTTACATAAGAAATAGCTTATTATCACAAATGTAATAATTAAAAGCTATAAAAGAAATAATATGAAAAATTGTCAGAGCTTGGGAGCTTTGATTTTAATCTTTTAATTACTATCTGGCACCTAACAACATGAAAGATATATAGGTATTTTTGCAAAACTTGTTTCTTTATTTCTGCTAACAAACTAATGAAATTTTTTCAGATACGTACTGAAGCTGGAAAAAGCTGATGTGTATCGACTACCATATTTGGCAAGCAGTGGACCTGGCTTCGGTTTGTATTTCAGCCTTATTTATATGTTATGCATATGGTTCCGTTATTTTCTCTGTATATTGTGGTTAAGTTTAGAGGGGAAAAGAGTAGCTGACATTTAAATAGCAGTTTTCAGCTACTGATTTACCAAGAATAAAATCGCTTCAAAGGATATTTCTCTGTACATCAATTGCTTTTGTCTCCTAATTTATGTTACTGACTGAAGCATCTAATTACACAGACATTTTCTATGAACTATTGGCTGAAAGATACCCTTTTGTTAGGACTTTCAAAGCATAACATGAACAGATTATGTGTCACTTTGGCCTAATAATGAAGCATCCTAGGTGAGGAGTAACCTGCAGGCTGACAAGAAATTATGTATTGTAAATCTCATTAATCTATTTTATGGTTTTGTCTTGGCTCACACTAAATTAAATTATTTTAACTTTTCAACTTTTATAACCAAAATTTTCTTTCAGGGGATGTTGGCCCCATAAGTAAAGCTCTGAACATGTATTTGACCGTTTGAGAGGGTTTCTCATGGGTGCCTTCTTCTTTTCTTTTCTTTTCTTTTTTTTTCCTCACTTGTGGGAAGTTGACCTTATTTAAAAAGACTATGGAAATGCATATGCTTTTACATGTATATTCTGCATAGCATTTAAAAGAAAAAAAAGAGGCTATACTCATGCTAACATTAGTTTCAATTATTCATTTTGGTATTTCAGCATTGCTTGAAACTGCAAGAAAGGTTAATTTCAGAGAAATTTTGAGCCAAATAGCTGATGGATTTGCATTAGAAAGGTAATTTCCCTGGATTTTTGTGTACATATGCTGGTTGTGATTTTCTCATTCTTTCTAAATGGAAGAAATTGATAACTTTCTGATGGCAATTCTAGCCTTATATAAACTTCATCCATACAATGTCTGTGTGTGCCAGGTTTCGTAACTTTACCTTAATCCCACCTTTGTAAATACTACTCTCCCTGCTAATATATTCTAACTTTAGATATAAACCCTCTATAACTGTTAATATCCTTCCGAAAACAGCCTTCTTAAATTCTATTTGTAACATAAGGTAGTGTTTTCTTATTCCTTGATCTGGAATCTTTGACAAATTTCTGTTATATTCTCTCCTTGGCGTTTTCTTGCCTCGTGTTCTTTTACTGTCTTAATCAATTCATCTATTAATTTTCACAAATTTACCCTATAATGGACAACATTGGCAAATGTGCAACTTCCCCTCAAATTTGTTGGCATTGAAGCAAATCCCTATCCAAAGAAAAAAAAGAAAGTCTACACAATTTGTTGTTCCAAATTTTTATTTTTAAGAAATCGATCAAAATTTAACTGTTATCATTAATTTTTTTTTTAGGGTTTAAGAATAATTATTTAACAAAAACTGTTAAATTTAAATTAATTTCTTGAAAATAAAAATTTAAGGTGAGAAATTGTGTCCGCATTTATTTTTGGGTGATGCTTTACTGAAATGCAATAATTTTAGGAAATAATTTACACATTTAACCAATAACATTTATGTCATTGTCAATACACCTGATGAACGTACTGTCATGGACCAAATTCTTTAGTGGCGTTTCTCCTTGAAGTTTGAGAACCCTTAATTCTTGCCACATTTAATCCTTATCAACCTTTCATTGTATCCATAGTTTGATGAAGCAGATCTCCCATGTCAGATGAGTTTAGCATTAGCTGTCTAAAACAGTGACAATTTAAGTTTTCTATAAGTTTCTCCATTAATTTCAAAGATTCAAGACTTGCACCTTCACGGATTGTAGATTTCCAACGAGTTCTGAGTTCTGACACCAATTTGTTAAGGCAAAGAGGCATAGTTTGCATAAATAGCACCGAACTAATGATGAATCTGACCCAACGAAATTCTAAATTTCTTAATTTGTTTCTAGACCTTCAGCAAGCTTCTTCTGTGGTCCCGGCTTTGAGTTGGCCGTGTATTGAGCACTAAAAATTATTTACACCGTAACTGGAACTAGATTTCGAGAGATGAAATAAATAACATAAATGTTGTCCATTATACTGACTTCATCAGATAAAGAAATCCAACCTGCCACTGAATTTATGTCACTATCTTTAAATATCATTTATTAATTGATGGATTCTGGAAAACAGATGGGAGAAGCCTGTCCTACTCGCTTGGGGAATATCAGACAAGTATCTACCTCAATCTGTAGCAGAAGAGTTTCAGAAACGGAACCCCTCTGCAGTCAATATTAAATTGATTGAAGGTGCTGGACATATGCCACAGGAGGACTGGTAATTAGTTTCATTGCATTAACTATTTCTCTCTTTCATTTTTATTCTTGTTCTCAAATTTTTTAAAAGTTATCATTTTTAAAAATCAACAGGCCTGAGAAAGTTGTTGATGCTTTGAGACTATTCTTCTAAAATTCCGGAATCAAGAGGTCATCAAATTGGTCTTGCACAATTTCTTATATATACGGAAATGCAGTTCAATCTGACTTAAGGACACGGGCATCCAATTTAATTTTTGTTGTTTGTAAACTTAATGGTAATTGGTTAAGGATGTCCATCTTAGTTAATTGGAGATAAGGAAGAGAGGGTTTTTCTCCAGCCTATGCCTAAATGGAACCTGTCGTGTACTTAAACAACTTATTCAGTTGGGAAAATGTATGTTTTCCAGAGGACATGACAAGTATAATTTTCACATATTAATCTTCCTGGTTTTATTTATTTATTTATTTATTTTACCTTCATTGTAATTTTTAACATATGACAAATAAATTATCCTGTTTTTTATATAAAAAAGGAAGGGACTATTTTATATAATTTACAAATCAACTTGTAGTTTAATACAATTTCAACGTGACATTACATATATGAGTGATCATATTCAAATGGATTCTTATGTATACTAAAATGGTAATAAGTCAATATATGAAGGTAAAACTTAAAGTTAAAGGACACAAACTTTCACTAAGTACAATATTTGAGGAAATGGATTTTAATGAGTTCTTTACATTGACATGTGATATTACGATGGCTTCCTTTCAATCAAATTAATTTTTTTTCCAATTTTTAATTTAATAATTAGATGACAGCTCTTCAGCAAATTATCATTTGTTTTTAATTAATGCAAAGATTATGTCCTTATTTTAACAAGATTAAAATTTGTATTCTCAATTCTGACTTTAGCCAAAATTTGTGTCCTCCTTTTTTTTTTTTTCTTTTTTTTGTGTGCTGGTGTGCAACCGAACTTATTCAAAATTCGTATTGGCTATAATTGAACTCATGTTTCTCGTGTCCACTCCACTCCCACGTTAAGAACGGACTCCCAAAGAGAAGTGAAGAAGAAAAGGAAATTGCCGTTGAATTTAGGTTCCATCAATTTCAAAACCTTCACATCATTAATGAAATGCTCGGTGGACCACAGCTAAGCAGGTCTAGAACTACAAAGTCAATCACAATTTAGCATGTTTTGCCTGCAGTCATCTCCTGTACCTTACTGAACTTAATTTAGTATTGGAATTAAAGAGTTGGGATTGATGAATTACATTATTACAAATAAAGAGTTGGTGTCTCATTTAATAAAAACTTATTTTCTCCTTTAATACTTATTTGTTTATATAAATGAATGTTTTATTTTATAGTTTAAATTTCATTAGATTATAAATCAAAAATTATTAATTAAATACAAATTATACTTTTAATATCAAGAGATTCACTATTATCAGATAGTTATAGTTACGCAATTCAATACATTTTAAATTATATAATATTTTTTTATATAAACAATTCTCAACATCCACTGTGCTCTTTATATAGCCAACAGCTTCTAAGAAGAAAATTACCTTTCTATAGCTTCTTTTAACTAATATTGGTGGGAACAAACTGAGATTGCCTACAAATAGTTAAAATTTGGATCTTTCTCTAGATGGGCGAGCTCTTTGATCCAAATCTAAACTTCAACCAGCTAAGTAACACTCCAATAAAAATTGTAAGCAGTGAGAGTTAAATTTGAAACCACCGTTCTATCTGTTTGGCCATTTTCCCTGTTTTTATTATAAGCAGTGGGAGTGGGGAGCAGAGGGAGGTTTGGCGCCGCACTCTTTTAAGACTTTTTTTCCTCTCTGGCCGTCCTAAAAACGGCCATCAAATATGGAAAAATTCAATTATCTCCTTTATAGTTTCCAGCTATGGCATCCCTACATTGTATATGTTAATGACGTGACCCCCAAATCTCATGAAGTTGGATCTACCGTCGGACATTGGTTTTCCCAACAATTTAAGCTGAAAATTTCAAATTTTCAACTAAATAAATAGGTATAATGCTCAAAGTAAAGGTTTAAATTTAGCAATTCAGCTTTAAGTTTTAAAACATTTAGATTTATTGATCAAGATTTCAATTTTCAACAATACCTTGAAAAAAAATCCCCTTTCTCTTAAATTATAGACAGTTCGGAACAAAAAAAAAAAAGTATAATGCCCAAGATATAAATTGTAAAATGCATTAAATTGATATCTCAAATTTTGATATATATAAATTCTTAAACTTCATGATTTGAGTAATTTAACCTTTATTTTTCAGTAATTTAGCCCTTATTCTTATAGTAATTACAGAATTAAGGACTAAATTGCTCAGATTGTGGAGTTTAGGGGTTTATATGCATTGGTTAAAGGTTGAAAGCTCAATAGTAAATTTAGAATTAGAGGCTTAACATATGGTTTCACCAATGAAAAGAAAACGTTAATGCAAATATGGGTTGAAGACTTTGAGGATTGACTTTCAAGGGAGGAGAGAGAGATCATATATGGTCCTGAGGATGGGTTCGGAATGTGCATCACAAGGCACAAAACCTTTCATGGTATGAAAAGACTACAAGGTTGAAGGTCCATGTGAAGTTTTTGTTCAAAAAAATGAACAAGGTCTAATAAGGGGAATAATGCATTGGTAGAAGTTTGTCCTTAATCACATGAATTCCCTGTTAGACTAATGTTTTGGGTAACAGTTCCTTTCCTCTTGAATTTATGAGGGATATTTTATGCTATTATACATAAATATATTAATCTAGTCTCTTAAAAAAAAAAAAAGTAAAAAATAAGACCTTTTTACAATTAAAATATTAAGAATAATAAAAAATTTTAATATCTTTAATAAATTGTATCATTAAAAAAATTCATTAAAAATATTTAAATAATTTCATAAAATATTATGATGTATTAATTTTCACCTTTTTTTTTTCTATTAGTCATGTGGTTGGTTAGTTCAACTTAGATATCAAACCAAACATGTTGGTTAATTAAAATTTTTGGTCAACATATTTTATAACTAAATAAATCAAACCAAACTTTAATTCAATACTAACAAATTTAGCTAACTCCATATTTTTGCTTAATTTAGCATGTCATTAATTATTTAAAAAAAATAACACAGATAGATAGTTACAAATGTTACTAAATCAAATTTTATACACTCTAAAATTAATTTCTTTTTAAATAATCTTCAAATTGTACCCCTATATTAGTTATTGCATTCAAAAAAAGTTAATTTTCTTTGGTATTACCAAGAAAGAAGAGGACTTGAAACATTGATGTTGGTAATACATTCAACCAAATCTAACTTTGTTTTTAATTAATCTTTTATAACTTTATTGAGCTTTTAATTTTAGGTTTTATAAGGAAAATGCTAGGGCGACTGACCCCTAGCAAGTCGATGGAGGCCTATTGACATGTCCCTAATAGATTTCTCTTTTTTACTCTTAAATTTTTTTATTCGGTTTCTACTTTCAATCATTTAAATTCATTTTTGTTCTCTTATTTTTTAAATTAAAATTAATTTAAACTTATGTTATTAGAATTCAAAAATTTTAAGATTCAATGTTTAGGAAGTTATGGTTTAAATTTTTTATGATTTTTAGTATTTATATTATTTTAAGGTTTTGTATTTAAGATGTTAAGTTTTAGATTTTTTTTTTAATATTCAATATTTCTTAGTTTTAGAATTTAAATTTCTTAAAATTTAGTGTTTAATCATTAATGTGTTTGGGTTTATATTTTTAAAGTTTAAGATTTAATATTTAAAATGTTTAAGTATTTAATAGTTTAAAATTAAAAATTAGAGAAATAAAAAAAATAAAAATAAAAAACAGATTTAAAAAATAAAAATAGAAAAGTAATAGGGGCCAATCGTCCTGGGGACCGATCGGTCCCTATAACATTACTCGTTGCTTAATCATGGACAATTATTTTTTATTCTTTTTACTAATCTCACCCACTTACATGAAGGAAAACTACATTAATTAAGATATAAATAAGTTCGTTGGCAACCTTCTACATAAAGTACGTAGATGATAATGATATAAATTATGAGTTTCTCTTATATGTGCTTTTAAGTTTTTTTTTCTTTTACATTTTTAATATAAATTTGTATAAAAATATTAAAATAAATGTTATTTTTAATATTAATATCATATAAAATAATTTAATTAAGTGATTGATAAAACTAAAAGAAAAATGAAAATCAATGCATTTTGGCACTTTTAAATATTAAAAATTATTATGAAATTATTTAAATA